GTATGCATTCGGTATGCATAAAACGGTTCTGGCCATCCCCTGTTCCCCACACTCGTCTCTCATCCCTACAGCCCCCCATCACCACCCGATCACGCCGCTTGCAGTCAACCCCATTCCAGTTTGCCATCCTTGTTATATGTACCAAGTTTCGTGCTGCCGCACCGTACGGCACTCTCCTACGTTTCTCTTGCTTGTGGTTGCTGCACTGGTGTTGTTGTACCGCGTACGTGCAGGTACGCGTCTTGTTCATGCATTGTACACTCAAGACTTTAACACACACACACGTTTATGTATACACTTCTACGTGCACTTGAAAAACTGGATTCAATTAAGATGCTCTTAATACATAAATCACATTTCAATTCTGATAACTCCTTAAATCATAATAAAATTGATTTTATATCTCATGATCCACTTTTCAAAATTAGATTTTATTAATATTTATTAAAAACTGAATCTACACTGAATTACTGTCACGTCACGGTAACATAAAATAAATAATATTTTGCATATTTAACAATTAAGTTATTTATGAATAAAATAATGTTATTTCAAATAATGAAATATGTTTTTAATAAATAGACATTGACACCACCACCAGTCAGTTACCAAGCAGTAGTCACATATTCGGTATTGAATAGCAATCAGTCAGTAATAGTTAAAACATAAAAGAGTGAAGAAGTCAATTTATTGTGTTATATAATAATTAAAAATAAAACATACGAATTAATAAATTTTCCTTGCTATAAAATTATAAAATTATTATTATTATAAAATTATAATTTTGTAATAATTAATTAAATAACAATTGTTTAATACAATTTATAATTAAAAATTATTATTCAAATAATATTGTAAAAATTGTTAAAATTAAAATCCTCTCTTTTATTTGATATATCCTTTTTGTAAATTCGAGTCCCCGAAAATGGGCCTGACTCATAATCATATTATCTTTATCTAAAGAAGTGAAGTTGGAATCAGTCCCTTTAAAAACCAAGAGAAATTCCATTAGACTTCAGTATAAAATTTTCATTTCTGAAAACAGTACCAAAAAAATAATCACTAAAAACAAGTTCAAGTTTGAAAAAATTATTTTTAAAAAAACAATAGGGGAGGATGGGGCATAAATCGTTTTCGAATCTAGCGACCAAACCTGAATTTGTATCTGCAAACGAGTAGTACTTTTGGAAAGCCTGGTTATTTGGCTATAATTTTGCTATACATTATTTTGCTGTAGACTGCAATCCCTGAGATATGAATGAAAAAGTAAAAAAAAATTTTTAACCATCCTTGCCCCAGTACCGGGGAAAGAATAGTTAAAAGAATCCGAATGCTAAAAATGTCATAGAACATCAGTAAATTTTCGTTTTCTTTATTTTATTGGATTTAGAGTATTCAATATTGATATATCATGAGCCAAAAGTTTTGAACGTTCAAATGAACTAAATTTTTTTTGCAACTTCTTTAAGTACGAATTTTATTACAAAATATTGGTTTAAATATCTAAAAAGAAGTTATTATTTTAATAATTTGTTTAATTTACTGTTTTATTTTAAATTGCCATTATAATTTTTAATAATTTATAGATTGAAAAAAATATTTCGTTCATTTAAACGTTCAGAACTTTTGGCTCATGATACATCAAGTATTACTAATATGTTTTAAACTTTTTCTAAATATAAATTATTGCATTACCCCATAAGCCCATATTTCAGTTTTTTCTAAATTTTAAGGAACGACGTAAATTAATTTAAAAATAAATACGATATTCGTGTTCAGCAGAAAATTCCACTCCGGAAAACACTTACGTAAATAAATATTCGGAAGCACTAATATAGAAAACAATATGATGAACACTATGTTGACATTTTAGCAAAACAGACTTTTTACAAAAATAAACTCCTGACTTCGCAAATGGTGTTAGATTGGCTTCCAATTTTTACTATCATCTATTGGTGTTATGACGCAAATATACCATGAATGACACGATTTTTGAGCAAGCCGTCTAAGCATAACTGCAACTAAATATCCTTGCCCCATTCTCCCCTACTACAAAAATTTTCATTTCTAAGATTTCCAAATTTACAATACGAAGTTTATTTTCAAAGAAGTTAAAAAGTATTTCAATCCAAATACAAATATTAAAAGAATATAAACAACGAAAGGTGTGGATAACTATTTTAATTCTTTGTATCAATACTTTCAAAATTTCCCTGGAAAATTAGTACAATAAAACTTGGACTAATACTTTCAAAATCATTTTATTAGGACCTCTTCCTAATTTTATTGATACACTTTCAGTTGTATAAATAAAATTTATTCCTTACTAATAAATATTGAATCTTTGAAGTTTATAGTTACACTTTTATTTAATAATAAAGAATATTTGACACAAAGTAGCTACCGATCTATTAAAAATTTTAAAGTAATCTTAATATGGTAGGGAGTCAAAAGTTCCAAAAAAAAAGTTCCAAGCCAAAAAGTTCCAAAAAGTTCTTTTTCCCAAAGTACATTTGTTCCAAAGTATTAATAGTTCCAAATAAGTACCAAATTTGTTCCAAAAGAAAAAAAAAATACAATGAGATGAAATAATAATAATCATGTAAAACGATAAGCAGCTAATCTCATTATCATTATTCAGTTGTTTTTCAAAAATATTTTAGTGTCAAAATTAAAGTAAACAAGGAACACGTTTCGAAAAATTTTTGGTAAAATTTAAAGTAAATTAAAAATTAGAAGTCAGTAAATAATATTATTTATTTAAAATCATTGTAATAGCGCAAATTATAATCATGCTCCAAATCGAGAAGAGGTTAACGCATTTTTAAAATTTTCGAAACTTTGCAACACGATTTTCTTTTTTTCAATTTTTTACACTTTTTGGAACTTTTATTAAATTTTATTTTGGAACTTTATTATTGAAAATTTATTATTGGAATTTTCTTTTTGGAACTTTTGTACTTTTGGAACTTTTCTCTTGGAACTTTTGGGTTGGAACTTTTTTTTTGGAACTTTTGTACCCCAATCCTTAATATAAACATTTAAAAATTGTTCATAAATAAATTATTCATTTTATTACCTCGTCTCAATTTAATTTTCAATTAAACTGACTAATCTTATCTAAAATAATTAAATTATTTAAATAGTCATTGAAAATCCAAACAAATAACTATTTCAAAACCAATATTGATTCAAGTTGAAATTACAATTCAAATTACCATCGATTCACACTTAAGTAGGTAGAAACTATTACAGCTCCAGATGACAATCAATTCAACATATAATCGATTTTCTGGAATAATAATAGTATGTCATATCAACTATATATGAACCATAGCAATAATAAAAACAATTCCACAAATGTAAACTAATCATATAAGTTTATATGACAACACACATATGAACCGGTATAAATGAGGGTACGTAATAGATGATCTCTATTGGTAAATGTATCTTCGTGTTTCCTTTATAGCAGGCAATTCGTGACTCTCTCAAATTACACAGGAAAATAAAGATCAAAACTTCAGTGCCTAATAATTTTGAAATGGTACAAGTACAATCGAGAATGTGTATTTGTATTTTTTTAACTGCAGCATTTATATTAGAGTCTAGATGTAATTAATGAAGGGTTTGCTAAGCAAATTATTTCCGCTAAATGCAAGGGTACTTTTTTTAAATACTTTAGACGTGTGGAATTTATCCAAAGGGATAAATTACTACATGGAAAGAAGATTTATAGTGAACACAACAAAATTTTTTCTAGAAAGCAAAATATGTAAACCCTTTAAAGAAAGGAGCATTATTATTACTATTGCTATTACTATTATTATTACTAGTATTATTGCTATTATTATTACTATTATTATTGCTATTATTACCTATAGCAATAATTATTTCTCTCTTATAATGTTACAGTGACAAGTATTTTACATACACAAAGGGAATATATGATAACAACCGGCGTATATACTAATGATAGTAAGCACAATAATTGCCATTGTTATAAACACAAATTAATATAAACATCTGGAAATAATTACCATCTATTGTTAATACAAACAATGGCCAAAAGATAACTGGGATTTACTTTAAGAGAAGATATACCCTTATCTTTTAATTGTCAGCTTACCATTGTTAATGATCTGTCACATAAATATAGTGTTTTGTAATTTATAAAATTCTTCACACTGGACAATTTTAAATATTCTTTACTATTTTAAAATTAAAGGGTAAAACAGTAATTATAAATGAATTAATTAATTTAAAATAATTATGAAAGTGTCCTATTTGTTGAATTCACAATTTTTCATTATATTCCCCTTTGTATTTTCATTTACAAGAAAGAATAGTAGTAAGGTGAAGAATCAGCAAATTTCTTTTTTTTATAGAAAGAGAGCAACGCGTAAACTTAGCAAGTCAGAGGCTCTAGGATTATGTGTAGTGGAGCTTTTACGGAACCATGATATTTGTATGCGGTGAATAGCAATTTCTTGTTATGGTCGAAAGAAATGCGTGTAGAATAGGATCTAAGACCCCGTTGACTGAGGAGCGAGGATTTTAATGAAAGTATAATGAGGTTTCTTTCTGCAAATTGCTTTTCCTCGTGATTTTGTTTTGTAATGCTTACGCAGCTACAAGACATTCGAATAAATTATTTGTCTGCGAATGGCGCTACTCGTTTGTAATGAAAGCTAAAGTAAATGTTAGAAAAAATGAAAATTTCTTTATTCCTTAAAGCAAAATCAATAATTAAATTACAGTTACTTTGTTACATCCCGAGCTTATGCTTGGGTTTTAAACAAATAATTTATTTATTTACTTGAGAGGGTTGTGCTGATTAATCAGATTGGTAAGATCTGATATTTTATTTTGTAGGATCGTTGTCACTTTATAAAGACAATGGGTCTTGCGTTAATAACAATAATAAAAGACAAATATTCCCCTTTTTAACGTTTTATTATTTATACATAATATAAAATACATGTGTTAAGATTACTCACTTCGACGATTGTATTTGGGTTTCAATGGAAATGCTGAGTCGTCATATAAGATTTATTTCTGGTTCCGCTTCAATTTATGAAAGTACAGTTTGTGGAATCACACTTGTGTAACACACACAACTATTAAATGTTTTTATGATGTTATAATATTTAACTTTCAAGCCTTTAATTTATTATCTCACGTTACTTGCACCTATATTGAAAGAATTCTTCTTTAAATGTGAAAGAGAAGCAACTTATAGACTTTTAATAGTTAATATTTTATATCACAAAATACGACAGTAAAATCAATGAAATTAGTTAGTGTAATTGTTTAATTATTGTTTCTTGCACCTTTTTAGGGAAGAATCTATTCTAAGTGAAAAGAAAATTAAATTGCACTTTTTAGGAAAGACCTTTGTTTTAAGTATTAAATTTGCTTCTCTTGCACCTTATAGGAAAGAATTCGTTCTAATTGAAACTCTAACAAAACTTGCACCTTTACGGAAAATTACAATAAATTTCGTGAAATTAACTGAAGGGTCGCTCTACAATGATATTAATCACAGAGATATACACTGGAACTTTTGACATCTATTGACATCTATTTGACATACTATTCAATTCATTGCTTTATTGGGGATGATTTAGATAAAAAGCACGGATTTTGAAAAAATGTTAAGTGGCACGTTTTGCGCAAAATTGTTAAGTGGCTCGTACAGTTTTTCTAAGAATCATTATAATAAAGTTATTATAATTTCATTTTACGAATAATAATCATGTTATTCAATCTATTTTTGGATCACTATTAGTATTTTGAAATTACTTGTACTTGACCATTCTGTTAATCATGTACGCATAACGGTTAATCTGCATTAAGAGGCCTTTAACTTGTAAAATGCACATAAAGTGTAAGAAACGTTATTATTTTTTTTATAAAAATAAAAGTTAAAATTATTAATGATATGTCGGGATGTAACATACTTAAAACTAGAATGTTTTAAAAAGATAAATCATCGAACGTTGTCACTTGTAGAACAAATAGGGATTTTCTCAAAGAGCAACTGATGAAAGTTACACTCCAATAAGAACTGCTTTTCTCCTCAAAAATTTGTGGTTTATATAATGGAATACCAATCGATAATTTGGGGATCGATTGTTTTGTGGCAAGGGGTTTTGGCCAGAATTATGTGATTAATTCTTTTAATTGAAATTTATTGTTGAAAATTTTCCACTTTTTAAAAATATTTTGTTCACATCCTGAGAGTGAGTTTTATTGAAATCGAAATTACATTGACAATGCAGGCATGTCGATTTAATTAGACGTGGTACTAGACAGCGGTTTACAGCTTTGGGTATTTCTAGAAATAATCGGAAAAAAAAGTTTCGAGATTTGACCGTTCAGTGTTGGTTACCGAGCTTACCGCAATTTATTCGCTTAATATCGTCGCTTTTGCATTTACCAGCAATACCTTTATTTAAGCGTTTACCACTCTCTCCCACTGCTATAAGCGAGAATATGTGGGGCGGTGAAGCTAGTCCCATGTGCGTTCGTTCGAGTGCGGAAAATAACGTTTGCACCGAGGCGTTAATGAGATTTAAAAATAATGGTGATTACCAACATTACTCAGCGACCTTACTACACCTACTATTCACAACATTCATGCCAGCTCAAAATCCTACACAAATCCCATTCGTAATCATATAAAATTCACGTTTATTTCCAACGCTGTTTAAATTATTTTAAAGATAATGAAATTGCGTTATTAAAAAATTACCTTTCCACTCAGTTTTACATTTTGAAATGAGTGTCGAAAAGAATTTTTTTTAATTACTTTTCAGCGTGTGGAAATATTTAAATTTTGTTGAAAACAATGTTGACGCTTGAAAATTAACTACTTGCAGTTATCCATCTAAAAATCGTATTAAATTTTTTTTCAGAATTGATTGTTCATCGTTTTAAAGTTAAAAAAAATTCGAATCATTTTAACGAAGTTTTTAAACAGAGTTTACCGCTTCAAGCTTATTATTATTATTTTGTCTAAAAATTGTGTCAAGAAAATCTAACTATACAGAATAATAGATTCCGAAAAATTTATATTCATTTTACTAACCCCATAATTGAATTTTGAATAAAATTAAATCTGAGATCCTAGGGAAGTATAAAATTCATTATTAACCTTTAAATGATTTTACAACTAATAAGATGAATAATATTGTTTAATAGTCAAGTGTAAAACAGATGAATTAGTGTGAAATTTAGTATACAAACGATAATTTGCATTTGGCAGTTACTTTTGAGTATCCTCAAGGAACGTTGATACACAAGGGACTAGAAAGTGCCTTTGCCTTTGGGTGTGACGAGAAGGAAGATTATTGAGTTACCTTAGAAGCAACACCTTGTCTTGTTTGGATGCATCGTAAAGTAGTTACACACCCATAGACCAACACATACTAGATGCATCCGGGTCTTAGTGAATGCGTCTTTGAATAGAGAACGTTAACGTGAGACATTACGTTAACAGTTCGCGTCTCATGTACATAGACAGGAAGGATTGAGGACTGTATATATATAGGCTACTAGGTACAAAATTGTCTCGAGGTTGCAAAGTGACGTAGCCGTATCGCCCAGTAGATGAGACATCAGGCAATGGAAAGGACAAGCGTAAATGCCAACGCCACTGCTAACACCAACGGAGCTTTATCCGGTTAATTAACTGCAATCGGAAATTGCTGGTTACCAGATAGGCATGAATTTACTGGCAATTTCCAGGAATAGACTCAATTAGGATCGATCGTGAATACGAATCGCTGTCGCTAACAGCATCAGAAGGCTTAATGATGATTCATTTTCACAATTATGTATGTGTTTTACACAACATAAAGAGAAATTATTTGCTTTCAAACGCGATGCTTCATAACATTATACATTGGTATTGATTTATTCCTATTCTAATTAAATTCATATGGATATTAATCATTCCTTGATCACAATTTGCATAAAATGGCGACAAATTCACAAGGTTTGTTAACTAATTTTGTGGTAGAATAACACATTTCGTTTATTAAAATCTTCGCAAATTCACACTACACAAATATACTGAATCTCAAAAGGGGATTCGGCAGGACAAAAACGTTAGATGCTTCGATTTTGAGGCCTCGTAATGTTTCATCAGGGTTCCTCCCTTTGTGTAGAAATAAGTAAATTGTAGAGTATCAAACAGCATAAAGATGAAATTAATTCAGTGTTACCGTTATAATAAATTTATTTCTGTTTAAGGTTTAAAGTTTATATTTTATTATTTTTGATTTTCGTTTATTGTAATTTTCGATAAATTAAAGTTTTCGTTGACAGAAAAGTACGGTGTATTTTGACGCTGGAAGATTCTTCAGGTCAATTTAACATTTATTATTTATATACCTGTTCATTTATTACTATTAGTTATCTTCGACTTTCTTAAGACCAGGTCAGGAGAAAGATAGCTCATATAACGGTAGAGAAGGGATAGGACTAATTACGTCAGAAATAATATGGTTTATATACAAATGTTCATTAATAGTGTATATTAATTATTCAATAAAAAATTAACGATATTCAAAGTCACATTTCTACCACTTGCTTTCAAATGTTACGATTATTAACACACAAAATATCCATCGTTAGTCACTTAACAAATGAGTATAAAAATCTATTTAATCCGTAATAAAAACAATATTTTAATAACTACATTTCTAATGCAAAATGATAGCGATAAAATATAACAAGTAAGTGGTTTATGAAACTAGAGGAAACTTTTTTCAAATTGCAATGTAGTTGAGAATGGATTATATATTAGAAACATCTACCCCAACGTGGCAAATACTAAAAATTGCAACTCGCTAAAAAGCCTTAAGTGGAAAGTTGGCGAGCTTTGCGCGCTGTCGCGATGGCAATAGAGATGCTGAGGAAGGAAGTGGTGCGATCGAGCAGAGTTCCGAAAGGGAATAAGATACCACCAATATCAGATTTAAAATGATGTTTATATCGACAACTTTTTCTTATATAACTTCATCGATCTTCGAAACTAAAAATTGTATTGTTTACTTTATTAATAATTTTATCCCTTTACAAATAATAATAAAATGAAATAGTAAATTAAAGTTTCATTTGGCTTAAACTAAAAGTAGATTCCAATAAGGGAAATAATTTCGATAAAATTAAAAACAAGTTTGTACAGTTAATTGTAATGAAAAAGAAATGAGGGGAGGACGAAAAGAAGTATTCAGTTGGCACACTAGAATCGCAAATCATCACTGACTGAAACTCCCAGGCGCTTTTGAGAGGTTGAACTTTCGTGTATTACTTTATTCTATGGCAGGAAGAATAACGGTTTTAACTTTACGAGGTAACTCGTTGAAAAACTTTACTAGGTATATTAGTACGGCGAAACGAAACGAAGCGAACGAATGTTTCACCTCGTATAGCTCTAGAATCGAATGCCGTAAAACAAGTGGAAAACTAGAAACTACGGCCTGAGTAGACGACTTGTACACAACTACGAAGTTGTAGTGGTAGTAGTAGTAGTAGTAGAGGGCACAGATACGAGTACATATTTAGGTAGAGTGCCATGTCACGACTCACGAGTGCATGCACGTGACGATAAGGTTGGATCGTAGAATTTTTCATTTGAAAATTTCAACTTTTATTGCGACAGCGGTAACAGCCCAGCAGCCAGAGTTGCTTCGGAATAGAGAAATTCTTGTGTCAGGTAATTTGTGAAGCTTGTATTTGATACGACTCAAGAAGTGTTGCTGACTTCAAGATAGTTTCCTCATAAAGCACAACCAGTCAGTTACAAATCACATCACATTCTAGAGTATTCTACTCTAGCGATAAACTTTTAAATCAATCAATTCCTTCCAATTTTTTCTATTGATCGTAATTTCTAATAATTCTAATTTATAATCAATATTTTTACATTAAATTCATTTTGTGGCACTTTAATTTTGGAAGATCCGAATCCTTTTGTTCTAAAATGGCTCTTCAATCATAACGTTTGGGTAAAATGGAAAAGTAGTTGATAATCAATATGAGATTGCTGATGAAATAATTCGGATTAGGAAAAACACCTTATTATAAAAATTTAATTATATATTTTTTGGAATTTGGTCTTCATCTGACGACCGTTCAGAAATGTCTAATTAATTTCTCTAATTTGTCATTACGCCTCGTCCCCCTCTTCCATTTATTTTTGAAAACGCTAGGACACGTCTTGATACATTACAAATAATTATAAAGCATTTTTTGAATTAAGTTTAGAAGTAATTTTTCCAACAAAACCAATTTAAAAATGTGATTGCATCTTAAGACAAAGTAATAGGATAAAAGCAATTTGCATCGAATTGTTTCCGACTCTTGTATCCTCTTTTCCTCATGTAAAAAGGATGTCCCGCCAAAGGCAACAAGACCCTTCAACTATCGTTCGGTCGATCGTACAGCGATGCCCTCGAGCTGGAGGTTACTCTCCAAGCCAAAGCAGTTGGAGGAAAAATTCTATACTCTTACTCTGTGACCGGAAACAGAGAGAGAGAGAGAGAATCCAAAAAAATGAGATGAAGAAGCAAGGCTCTTGTATTCATGGACTGTAAGAAGTGCAATTACCTGGTTATGTCGTAAAAGTCGAGAATCCTAGGATTCGGTAACTTTCATTTTCATGTATATTCATTATCTTTATATTTATCACAGCGCAGGGTTGGAATGCATGAATTTTAAGGTTGGGTATGAGTGGCTGGTAAAAATTTTAATCAAGGCTTTTATGTTGCATCGCGGTTGCCTCCCCTTCCTCGCGTCTTTACTCAAACGGCTATCGTAACAAGTAATTCTGCTAGAAAAAACCAGACCAACAAAACCCTTTTTTTTCTCATGCGCACTGTATATCTATCGATTCTGCATCGCTTCGCTCGTTTCTTTTCCTCATAAAATGCATATTGGATATTTTACGATGAGACCGCCAGCGACGATTAACCTCTCCGAAGAGTATCAGTTTTGAAGTTTAGCGGAAAATTGGCAATCGCTGTATTTACACCGTATCGGATACTGACATTCCCGCCTGCAACTCTTGGTGCTCAAAATCTTCACATCTTTCAAGCTTCGCGCAAAATCGATATAGAAACACTATAAAAAAATATCCAAAGATAAAAAAAAAAATTTAGTTTACTTGAGAAAAGTTGTAAATTTAGTTAAGAAAAATATTACTATACATAACTAATTTATTTATAGCACAAAAAATTCATTAAAATTGCACCTACATTGGACATACTTTGACCTATAATAAATATTTTATATATATATATATATATATATATATATATATATATATATAATAAATTCCTTACTGCACGAAAGTCCTATCTTATACACTTCGTTTTATTTTATTTTTTATAAACTTGCGGTCAAAACCACTAATTCGTCAAATCATTGACAACAAATTCATTCAATTTATAAGTTCTATAACTCTCGGTTTATTTTTGTTTCACTTTGCTCAAAACTGCGTATACTATCCGGATCAATTGAGACGACTTAAAATATCAAAGACGAATGGATGATCCATGTCCTCAAGAGAAGAGCTTCCTGGCACATATAATTGGAAGTGATTCCAGATTATTCAAAAGTGCAATACAGACGAAGACTAGTATTGTTTACGTTCTGTCAAAACAATAATTGGCAGCCATATTTATTATGCGCGTTCCACACTTAAACCTTTTGCAGATCAAACACGACGCGACGTGCCCCCTTCAGTGACTCTACGCATAAGGGAAGTGAGTGTTTCTCAGTTTAATGCTTCTCGATTTAAATCATCGTTAATATTGTTACGTCTCAAAATAGAGAAATAACTAACGAAATAATATTTTATTTTATTTATGGCCGCTCGGTGATTCAGTAAATTCCTGTTTCATTTACAGAGCAGAAGGCTCTGAGCTAAGGGTACAGGAAAGAAAGAGAATAGAGATTTTTAATGTTAATGTTATACTTTATTTATGACAAACACTTAGGGTAAAATTGTTTTTAAGAGAGAGAGAATCTCGAAGCAACCAATCCAAGGAAAAAAAGAGTTCAGCATTCCACTGAAACAAGGAATTCAAATGGTTACTACAGATTTATGAGAATGTAGGAAAAGTGGGGGTGTAAATATAAAACACTTACCTTTAAAATTAGAAGTAAGATATATGAATAGGACCACTGTGGTGTCTTCTGATTTGGCAGGTAAAAGGGCTGGTACCAGTAGATTTTATACGTCTCAGGAAGGTTGACGGGCCCAGGTAATGACCACAGGTCCGGAGTTCGGAATTGCCGTGACGAAGACCCACAATGAGATTCCTCCACAAAAAGGAAAGATGGTTATTTTCCAATTATATGGAAAATCACCGGTCCTTAGGTTGATGAGTGCTCCTTTTTGTGTAGAATTTTACGGCACTTGACTAGAATAGAAATCGTCCAAATGACTGGATTCCGTAAAAAGCACTATGAACTGGCACTGATATCCAAAATGACGAGTAGAAATAACGTAGATGAGGTGAAGTTTCGAACTGAACTCTCCGTAAAAAAGTAGCCCTTTTATATCAAGTTTTTCATAAGGGAGACTATATGATTCCATTGGTTTGCATTGCTAAGACTATCTCTTTCTTTTTTATTATCCACAACGAGGGTTTTTGTGATTAAATTACAGAATTTAGAAAGAGCACACTACTGCGATGAAATCGCAGGTGTAAGCGAGAAACACTACAGGGGTGGTATATCTGATTATATTATAGAATTTAGAAAGAGAAAGTCTACGTGGTGAATCGTAGCTGTTAGGAAGGGACACTCATTTATGCCCTTTTAAGGTAATACTGAGTTTCTCGCTTCTAATTGTATATTTTTAGAAATACAATATGTGAACGTAGAACGATACAAAACGCAAGGGTCTTTATACATAAAAGAAAAGATGTTTGGCCACGCGACAAAGGGGCGGGAGTTTACAATTAAGTGAAAGGTATTTTAGATGCGTAACAAAAACACGGGTGTTAGTCGCAGAGACATTCAGCTTATTATTGATTTAAAAAAAAAGAATTCTTATAATTTTGAATATAAAAGTTACGGTGACGTGACAATATAAAAAGTAAATTATTATTCTTATAACAACAATTAAATCATATGTTAAATTTAAAAGATTTAATATGTTTCAGAAAATTTTGTAAATTTGAATTAAGTGATTATTTATTTTAACCAATTATTAACTATTATAATAAATTAACTGTATTCATACCGATTTATTTTTGTATATTTAAAACAAACAACATTTTCTTCTATCAAGTAACATTAACTTTATAGAACAATTTCATTTTAAAATTTAAATGTAAAAATAAAAATAATTTATGTCGAAATGTAATATTTTTTCTGAAATTTAAAACTATTCATTTTTAAATACAGTAAAATGAAAATTTCGTAAAATCATAAATAAATAACGCTTTTTTTATTAAAGGCCACCTATACATATATTTTTAAAACGCCTACCTAATATATTATTTATTACTGTTTATATGTATATAAAATTAATTTATGAAAAATACATGTTTAAAAAAGAAAATTCATTATTAACAATAAATTAAAACAAATGTTCTTTTAACCAATAATAATTTATTCCATTAAAAACATTTATCAATTAATACTTGATTAAATGTCAAATTTAATTGAATTAAATGTTCACAAAATTTTTTGAAACATATTAAATCCATTAAATTTAACATATGATTTAATTGTTGTTATAAGAATAATAATTTATTTATTATATTAAAGATGATTTAAAGCGAGAAGCATTTTTCCATTCTTTGACTCGAATTAAATTCTTATAATTAAATGATCAAAATTTAAATACTGACTTTGGTAAACAAAATTATATTTTAACTGAGCATCGATTTTTTTTTATTATTTTTACTGTTTTCTATATTTGCTAATGGAAATATAGTAACTTTAGCAATAAAATCATATAAAATGTGATTCTTAATTAACTTTAAAAAATACTTTTTCCAACACTAATTTATTTATATTCCATTTTATACGGTTTTAGTGCTTTAAAGTCTCAGTTTTAAAAAATATATATTTAATGTCTCAGAAGATATTATTTTTATTACTTTTTTTATTGCACAAGTATGCTAAAAGCACAGCAAATAATAAAGATAGTAAAAAATCGTTGCCAAGTTAAAGTATAAATTTTTTGTAATCATTGTGAATGATTTTATTGTTTTAAAATTTTAACTTCTAAACCATACATTAATTAAGAAATTTCACGATTGACATTAAAAATCAAATGATACAAACAATTATCCCTTTGTTAACAAGTCATTAGAACAGCATTTCCTAAGATTTTTTATTAACATCCACAAGAGAATAAGTCAATAGAATGAAATATTTTAATGTTTGAAAAGAAAAGTTTTTTATTTTCTGTTATTAAAATTTTTTTAACATGTTGATAAAAGAAACCAATAAAAAAGAAAAAATTGTTTTTATTCTTTTTATGATAAGCTCTAGCCTTTAAATAGTTTCCACTTTAGCCGACTGCAAAATTAAATATAATTTTCATTTCAAATATTTATTGAAATCACATCAGGTAAGAGACTTTTTGAAATTAATAATTTAAAAAAAATTAAATTGTCTAATTAATTTATTTACAATAATGTTGCAGTACTAAATAAAAACCCAGTCAATTGCATATAACATTCTGATTTTTTATTCTTTAACTTTTTTAAAAAAATGGTTCTATTAAAAAAATTTCAACTCCCGTTTTTCTTTGTCATCGTCATAGTAAACGGTGCGCAAGGTTGGTTCAATTTTAAAGTAAGTTTTATTAAAAATTGTCATATTATAGGATATAAGTAATATGCAAACTACTTTGATAAGAGATAAAATATGTTTAATGAAATAATAATCAGAATTTCATCTTTCAGAAACATCTAAGACTATTACCATTTTTTTCTGATAATTCGAAGAAACCAATTGTAAGTTTTACAAATTAATATTTTAATTAAATAGTTTAATAGTGGTGTTTTTTTTCTATTTTCTAAAATAAGAGTTCCAATAAAAATGAAGAAATAACAACATATTAATCGTTGATCGTTGTTGCCACGAAATCCTATGATAGGAGCGCTTCCCACCTGCTTCACTGATACTTTTTGCATTTAGTTTGCTAATATACAAATATTTTTAGATCAAATTTTGAAAATATAATTATATAAAAGTATTTTCATTTTCTAAGAGTTTAATCAAAATTTAAATACAATGTTGATTTTATTTAGGGCCCAATCGAGAATTACGCACCTACTGAATCACCTTATGTTCCTGCAATAATTTTAAAATGCATACAAGAAGTTGAAAATAGAGGAATGAAGATTAAAAACATATATTCACGATCGGAAGATTATGAGAAAATAGAAAATTTATTAGAAAAGTTGTGTTTTTCTAAAAAAAAAGATAATTTCTCTTTAAGAAAACATGAGCCTGGAGTAATTGCTGCAACTCTTCAATTTTTTCTATAGTAAATTTAATTATTACACATTAAATAGGTCATTTTTAAGCAAAAAAAAATAAAAAACCAATATTAATAAATTATTCGTAATGTATTAATTTTTTAAATGTAATTCTTAAATTCTAGTAAATATCCCACTTGGAAAGATTCCTCGGAAAGTGCCCCCTGGATGATTTATCAGAATTCCGCCGGAACTTCCAACGTAATTCCGTCGGAATTCCATCAGAATTCCAAAGAATTTCCGATGAGATTCCGATAAATTTTTTTTCAAATTTTTTAGAGTCCTAATTCCGTCGGAACTCCGTCGGAATCTCATCGGAAATTCTTTGGAACTCCGATGGAATTCCGACGGAATTACGTTGGAAGTTCCGGCGGAATTCTGATAGAACCTTCAGGGGGCACTTTCCGAGGAATCTTTCCAAGTGGGATGTTAATTGTTTTGTTTATATAAATTCGCATTTAGTTTCAAATTCTAATTTCTAAAAAAAAATTATATGTAACAAGTTTGTTCGAACCACTATTAATTCACTTTTTTAACATATAATTCAAAAATAATTTTTTAACTTAAAAATATTGTTTTTAAGTAAAATTAATTAATATTCATTTAAATTAATTAATTATTTAGTTAACTAATTGTCATTTTTAAAATTTATTTAAGCCCCAGCGTTTATGGGCGAAAGAAAATGTTTAAAAAATTTGAAAATAAATGCGGATATTTATAAAAAAAAACGATGCACATTTTTAGTAAAATAAAAGAATTGTTTATATATTTTTTTAAAACTATAGTATATATATTATAAATTTTTATTTTAGTTATTTGAAAGAGTCTATAATTCCTTTTTATATGATTGATAATTTTCAACGTGCTTTACATAATCCATCTCCAAACATAAATTTAGACAATATGCTGACCAAGCTTTCGAATATAAATCGAAATACTCTAGCTGTACTGATTGTCCATTTACAACGAGTTGCAGATAAACAGATAATTAAAAAATGGAAAAAAATTGAACTACAAAGGCTTGCCATTATATTTGGACCAATTTTGATTCATCCGAATGTAACTACAATAGTTCAACATTCAAAAGATTACATGAAGTCTTCAAGAAGTGTACATAAATTTTTTATATTTATTTAATTTTTATTATTTGTGAAAAATGTTATTTTTTATACATATTTATTTTTTCAGATTTTTCAAGAATTGTTAGAAGTTCCAGGCGAATATTGGAATTCCATTGTAAAATATTCTTCTATTGTAAGTAAAAGAATAGCCAATTAATTTACAAACTTACTGCAAATAGAAAAATGTTCTCTTTACTTCACAGCATGTAAAAGTGCTAATTTTCATTTGGTCTAGTATTTATGTAACACAATTCTTATTTCACCTTATTTTTATTTGTCCTAATTACTATGTTACTTAACATAATAACGGTTAATATTTTTATTTAATTTTTTATAATCAACAGCTCATTTTAATTTTTTTGGAAGATTTCCTACAATTCTGTTTGTTGAATTATTTTAAATTTTTAACCAAATATTATTTAATAAAAATTAACAAACAGAATTGTAGAAAATTTTTCAAAGAGAAAAATAAATTTGTAATTTTTTAAAAATAAGAACAACAAAAATACTTTTTAAAGAAAAATAATTTCAATTTAAAACATTTTTCTTTTTTTTATCGAAATACACAGATTGATATAAAAAACTCACACGAAATTATAAGAGAAGAAGATGAAGATGATTATGTGCAGAGTGCTTCAGGTGGCGTGTCTGAAGAATAGATATGAATTATTTAATATTTTTAACGAAATATTTAAAAAAAATTAATGAAATAATTTTTATTCTTTACTTTATTATTGTCTTATAATTGTTAATACAAAACAGAGACAAAATTCAATGTACATTTGTTTATTGCAATAAAATAAATGTTTCAAGAAATTTTTAAATTGATTTGTTTAAAAATCCAAGTAATGCGGTTTTCCTAGAAGACTGAATTGGTATTTCAATAGTCAAACATTCACATTTAAAAATTATTAGAAATTATTTAATCTAAAATAATAAGAAATAAATTATTTTTACTATGTAAGAAATATTTTTAGAAAATTTTACTAACCAAAATTAGGAAAGAATAACAAATAATTTTAAAAAAGCCAATAGAGGAAATTATTCAAAGTAAATTTTAAAACTAATGAAGAATTATTTAAGACACACATATATATATATATATATATATATATATATATATATATATATATAACTTTTTGAAAATTAAAAATAATTTTTAAATATTATTGAATTTTTTAAATTAATAAATGAAATTTTACATTTTATTCATTTTTACCACCTCTTCCCCACTGAATTTTAATTAACTGACTTAAAACGAGAATTAGATGAGAAAATATAAATTAATAGAATAGGAAAGATTTAAAAATCATTAAAAAATTGTTACATCATTTAAGTTATAACAATAAAATATAATTTCACAAAAGTGAATATAAAATGAAAGGACAAATCCACAAATCATTATTAAGAGGTTAAAATTGAAACTGCAAAATCGATAGCCATAATTTGAGCTTCAATTTTTCTTGTAGGATACTGTCTGCATTTCATCTTTTGAACATTTATGTACTTCCTTAAATTGAACAGACCGTCGGGGCTGTCGAGAAAAATTACTTCTACCCTTGTAAGACGCTATGGTCGCTCGAAGAGTTAGGTGATGAAAGAGGGGTGTGTAAAGAGGGAGAGGATGTTAGTTCACCAGCTGCTTGAAACCAATTTTTCTCAAACGATTTCCCCCAGAATGAAAGGCCACTTAAAAAATTCAGATCTTGCGCGAAATAAAATTCTTGGAATTTATTGATAACTATGTTCACTCTACTGAGGAAATGTCAAAAATCCACAGTACCATATAGAAAAAAAAATATACCTCGAAAAATTAAAAAAATGTTAGTTACAAAAAAAATTGTAATCCCATTTTTTTAACTTAAAATTGAAATTTTGTTTACCTTTTTTAAAAAAATTTGGGTGCGACTCAAACAGAAAATTGGGGTCAATGTTCAGCTATTTAAAAATGAAGTTTCTAAAGAAATGTCCAAGCCGAGGGTCGAATACGTAATCGAATCTCATTTTCATTCTTTTCTTCAAGTCCTCTCTCCCACCCAGTGATGTAATATTTCAAACTCAAGATACGAAAACAGAGCGAGAAAAGATTGAGACAAGCGTGAGAATCACGGGCCACAAATATGTCATTGGTGGACGTTGATAAAGCGTGATAAATAAGAGTTTTATCTTCTTTGCACGGCAGTATATACGCAGAAAAAAAATAATCACTCAAATATTTTTCCACATTCATCATTTTTTTTTTTTTTTGATGTAAAAATATTCCATCTATTTTTCTTTTTGGTGTCTATAAATTTTAAACTTGTTTTGAAAGTTCAAAAAACTAAAAAAAAATTTATAATAACAAAAAAGGAGAGGAGAAAAGCATTTTACAATAAAAGCAGGAGATAAATTTTATCTCCATCTCTGCATAGCTAACAAATTGTTGGAGGCTTCTTTTGTGAAAAAACGTTGCCGACAACAAGGTGTGTACTCAGCATTGAACTTTTTTTTTTTTTTTTTATAAAAGAGCCCGAGACAGGGTGCAATATGTTGATATTAAACGATTAATCAAACCGTTGTGCGATCCTGTTAAAGCTGTAGCGGGCGTGTTCTATAAAAGCGTTTTCGAAGTCAACGGTGTCGACTCTAAAGCTGGTCAAGCCGCAAAAGCTCTCAGTCCTTCATAAACGAGGTTTCTTGTCATTTTTTATCCTTGCAGAAGGAGAGAGTAGCAAAAGAGTGAAAAATTTACGATCTTCGTCCAAAATTCTAATACATTCAGTCGCTTTTAGAACGACTGCGATTAATGTTAATCAATGATTGATTTTCTTGAAATCTGACATGAGATTTCTATTCACCGACCCCTTCAGGAAAAAAACTCAGATAAGAAAATTCGAAAAAAAATTTAAAGTGGTTTATCATATTGAATTTTTTGATACTGAATTCAGAAAGCATGAATTTCCAATACATTAGTTTAAATGTTTATTTTTATAGTTCTTTGTAACTTAATTCGAGTGTTTGTATGTTTTATTATATTATAGTAACATTAAAGTAGTATTTTTTTTTATTTATACTCATGCCCTATTGACAAGTTGTCCTAAAAAAATTGAGTAGAAATAAGCTACAATTTATGTTGACGAAATGTATGAAGTTCAGATGGTCGATTTTTCTTTTTTAAGGTTAAATACTTCAAAAAAGTTTACTGAAAACAATCTTGATTGTAGAAAATCAAAAAAATTCCTATTATTTTTTTTTAGCTTCAAATTATTTCCAAAAAGAACTTGACATAAAACAACTTGAAGATTGTGTAAACACTTAGAGATCCAGATAAAGTTGATCTAAACTAAATCTATCAATATTAGCTGGACAATTATTGGCTTATCCTGGTGTATAGTTTTTGCTATGACACCAGGGTGGGAATCCAGCCATAATGGCTGTAAAATGTTATAAATTATAAAAATTATTTTTATATGATACTCACTTCATTTTCTTTAAATAATAAAACTCACGTATTAACAAACCAACTTGCCAAAGTCGTGAAATTAATAGTCGACCTATAATAAATAAATTCGATTCTGATTTCTTCTTTCGTTCTGTTATGAAAACTCTTGCGAGGAATTGAGGATTCTCGCCGGGTCACAAAGACGTTGAGGACATCACTATCTATCATTGAAATTAGAAGTCATCAAGGGAAGAATTTCCTGGTTGTATATATTTGGATAAGAATCCCGAATATTCAAGAACACCAGGAAGACGAAATTGATGTTTTTTTGACGATCTGTTAAACTATTATTGGCAGTCAATTTCCTATGGATTTCTCGCATCAATCAATTAAACATCGGATAGTGCAGGGATCTGCATTACCGACGACTGCGTATCGATTATCGGATGCGGATATTATATTATTGAACATTACACGGAGAGAAGAGTGTAGTGAATGTAACTACGCGCTGAGTAACAGTCACTAAACAATTTCGTTTGTTTTTGATTGACAAAACAAATGCTAAGGTTAACAAAAATGTTGTTAGATGTACTAAACGAATAGTGAATTTGACATTAATGAATAGTGTTCCTTACAAAGGCGAGGTAAAACATACTGAAAATCGGTTACTAAACGTGTGATAGTCAAATTGACTGAAACTCTTCTCTCCGTGTAATTGATCTCAATGACATCGAGAAGAGAGACCGCTGTTCAGCAACGCTTTCGAGTTTGACTCGTCAGCCATTTTACTCTCATTCTCATTCTGGTGTCCTTAGCGTAAACTTGGTTTTGTGCCTTTTTGTGAAATTAAATTTAAAATGTGATAAATGTATAATTTTTGGGACGAGGCGTCATCGTCGTCGTCAAATGGGCGGTGAGTCCCCAATTATATATTATGAGTAATTTTTCTTCTAAATTTATCTAATTATTATTTAAAATAATAATAATTATTAAAATCTATTTGAATCTTGTTAGTCGGCCTTCTGCCCCTTTCTTATAAATCAAACTTGAAGTGATTATTAAGAAATAGTGTAACTGTTATAAATTTTGTTTAATTAATGGTGTTCTGCAATTTCTAATCGACTTTTCGCATCAATCAATTTAACATCGGATAGTGCAGGGATCTGCGTTACCAACGACCGCGCATCGATTCTTGGTCGTGGATATTATGTTATTGAATATTAATTGACACAAGAAGAGAGACCGCTGTTTAGCGACGCTTTCAAGTTTGACTCGTCAGCCATTTTACTCTCATTTTTATTCTGGTCTCCGTAGTGTAAACATGGTTTTGTGCCTTTTTGTGAAATTAAATTTAAAATGTGAAGATTTACAATTTTTGGGACGAGACGTCATCGTTGTTGTCAAATGGGCGGTGAGTCCCCAGTTATATATTATAAATCGTTTTCCTTCTAAATCGTTCTCATTATTATTTAAAAAAAAATAAATTATACAATTAAATCTTGTTAGTTGTCCTTTTGCCACTTTCACAAATTTAATAAATTTGAAGTGATTATTAATAAATAGTGTTAATGTTATAAATTTTGTTTAATTAATAGTGTTTATCCTTATCCTCTCTCTCCGCGGTCTATTGTTGCTGTAAAGTAACAATGGAATTCCTGAGCTGGTTTTAGTTTTTCCTAAGTAGAATTATAAAAATTTACTTGTCAGGTTATTTAACTATTTTTCTAGGTTTAGTTATTTACCATAAAATATAACTTGGCGTCTAGGCAAATTAATAATTAAAAAGTGTTTAGATAACGTAAATTGAATTCAAAATATAATAAATTAATTAAAATTTAAAATAAAATCAATAATAAAATTAAAATCTACGTTATACTAAATTTCCCTGTAAAGAGCGCCACCCTTGCCTATTCGAATTTTCCAAATAACTGTTATAGCGAATAGTACCAATTTTGGCTTTAATATGAAATCTCCTTGATCTAATTATTTTTGAAGACTTTTTGAGATTATGTTAAAAACATATATTTTTTAAGTCACGGCATAATATCCTATTTCATTACAATTACAACGTCAAAATTTTTTAAATTTATCAAAACTGTGCTCGAGTAAAAAAAGAGAAAAAAACAATGTAAACTTTTCTAAGTGCATTGTTCGATTTTTAGGTGTAGAGTACCCGTACAAGTGGGAACCGCACTATGCTGAATAAATGACCCCTTCTATTATAAGCGAGGTCGTACGGGACAGAGCGAGCGACTTTGCTAACGCATTTAACTAAGCGACTAAGCGAATGTAAATGTATGCAGATTGCCCACTGACAAAAATCTCGCCTTCTCCAACAGTCTAGTCGTCCGATCGTAACAGTCTGAATCCTACTCTTGATTCTACTATGGCCGACTGGAGTGCACCCCGGGGATGACTTAGGCTACTAATGGCACCTGTTCCGAGTCTCTCTCATCCTGTTTTTCTCACAGGCAAACGATGACTTTTTAAACTGCTTGCATTACTTTCTTTCTCCAATCCATTCGTCTATCCCTCTATGCTTTTTTTCTGTCTTCTGCCACAAATCGTCCTCCCAGAGGAGAACAATTTTCTTTATCTTGATTGAAGGGGTTGATGTAGAAAAGAAGTCGAATTTCATCATTTATTCAACTATTTCTTATGAGAAAAAACTCCAATTTATTGTTAGATGAAAAAAACAATAGTTTGTTAAAAAGAAATAAATTTTAAATTAAGAGTAGCTTTGGGTTGTGGGTGTTATTTAAATAAATTCATTTGTGTTACGACCCATCCACCTAACGATGAACTCATTTTCGGAGTAGTTTAGTTAATCATTCTTTCATTTAAAACTGAAAGTCATAGTAAAAGTATAGTTTGAAGAGTGCAGTTTGCTTTTTCCTTTGCAAATTCACCTATTTGCTAAACTAATGTTACGTCCAACAACGAAATATTATTAGTTAATTCTAATTAAATATTTAAATATAAACTCATTGTCCACAACTCAGGAATCTTTCAAATTGTTTTGTTCTAAAAGGGTTGAATTTATAAGAATTGAAAGGATTATAATGCACTAAAATAAAAATACCAAAATCTTTGCGGAAGATAAAATAAAAAAAATAATCAGCAATTTTTTTATAGGAATGAAAGAACTAAGAATACGCAAATGATTCGCTCCACGTCTTTCAGAATTAGTAGTATGACAAGTAAGAGAATAAAGAGGATAATTGTTTAATTATGAACCTTGGAATCTTGAATTGAAACTTCAGTATAGAATCAATTAACACTTGGCAATTGAATTTACAATGACTTTAATAGAACTTGAATTTTTGAGAATAATTGAGAAAACTGATCATTTGAAAAATGATTGAAAAGACTGGAAGAAACTTGAATTTTAAAAGTATTTGGATTTTGAAAATAGTTAAATAGTCTTTAGTTTTTATATTGCTATCCCTTCTTAAATTTTTAAGTCTAGTACAAATTTGGGGATGAATATTTTTAAGACTGAGAAATTAGAAAAGATCAATGATTGGATGTATGAAAAACAAAATATAGAAAAACTTATCGAAAGAAAGATGTCATTGGGTCCTTCATGCCCAGCCTTTACAAGGGATGACTTTACGTAGGCGTATCTTATGATAAGGGTGTCTTGAAAAAATGGGGAGGTATAAAGTTCAAGCTATTTCTAAAAAATTGTAAATGAGAATTGCTGCGAGCAAACAAAAATCAGGAAATTCAAAAATTTTATAAATTAAAATACAAAACAAATTAAATTTAACAAAAAATTATATTATTTCTGCACAAAGGGACCGAGGTGACAATGAATGATGTGAGGAAGAACATGTCGCATTTCTTCTCCATCCGTATTCGCGATTAATTATAGTATCGCGGTAGAGATTGTAATTGTCCGTCATAATAGAATAGAAATTTGCAAACTCTTACGAAGCAAGTGGCCTCGCTATATTTATCTATTGACGTTAAATTATTTAATAAATTCATAAAAATTTCTACATCCCCTCGAAGCAAGTGGCATGAAGAAGTAGATTTTAAAATTTATAAAAAATTTATCCACAACACACACACAAAACAATTTTTTTTTTAATAACAATTTTTATATTAAATTAAAAATTTAATGTAACATAACAAGGAGGAAAGTAAAATATATTCAATAAAAATTTTATAATTTCTGTGCAAGTGATTTTAACAATTTATTCAACAAACCAAATATCCCAAAACCAATAGAGAAAATATTATGATACAAATAAGAACAGAAATGGCCTGAATCAATAGGCCAGAAGCTGGACTCATTTTACTATTCTGAAACGAGTAAATTCTACATTTAAATCTACCAATTTTTAATATTTTTGAGATATTCAAGAAAAATAGTAATAATTCTTTAATAATTCTTTTTTTAATACCTTTTAAATAAATTACTAAAATTGTTACAAATACATAATTACATTATAAAATAATTATACTGTGACATATTTGGACGTAAAAATATATGATATTAAAATAATATATATTTACATATTTAAAGTAAAATAATCTCCGTGTCGGAGATTATGATTATATTATTTAAATTGATATTATTTGAATTTATATAATGAAATAATTTGATGATTATAATGTATATAGTTGTAATAATTTTAATTGAGATATTCTGAATTTACTAAAGTTAAAATTAATATTTATTGAAAAATATATATATTATAATAATTTATTTTATTACAAATCTTTACATACACGTTTGTATAAATTTTTTTTTAAATTGAACCTGTACTTTTAGGAAATAAATGGTATTTTTTTAAAAAAAATTTAGTAGTAGTATTTTTCTAAAGAAAAAAAAAGGTGGACTCTACGGGAACATTGATGATTTGATTTCGGTTTTTGATGACGTTGTCGTTGGTTGGATTGGTGAGTCGGATATAAATCAGGTTTGGGTCAGAGGCAGGCGACGTAGTGCGGTGGGGTGTAATTACGAGAGGGGCTGATTATACGACACGCCGTGACGTGGTGCAGCAACTCGTCGACCCAAAACGACGAGGGGGGAGGGTGTTAGTCTGCACACACGGTTCGGCAAAAAGAGCCGCCAATCTACATACATTTACATCGTGTGGGGTTTTGTACGTGGCGGCACGGCCTTGTCCGCTCTCCTCGGGAGCCAATTCTTCCCCCAGGTAGAGAGCTTTATACTAAAATATATTTCCATCCGCTACATTTTGTTTGTTTATTTCAACGAGGCACGAGCCGTTTATCGTTAAACCAATACCCATATATATATATATATATATATATATATATGTGTGTGACCTCTCTTTCTCCCAATTTACTACGTGTATATAGCAGAACATTTTTTTATTTATATAAAAAAATTACTTTTTTCTAAATTGAAATTAGTAAAAGTTTTACAGTTTCAATTGATACTTTAATATTTCACTGAGAGCCAAATAAATATTTATCTGCTTAAAATAAATTTTATTTGGTTTAAATAAAAATTTTATTTCAGCCAGTTGTTACACAACATGGGTTCTGACCCACTTACCTACCAAGGTCGGTAATGTAGAGGTATTTTTTATCGACTTCTGGTGATCTACTTTACCGACCGAGGTAGTACCTGTTGTCGCTGCTCACTCGGTCAGTAAAGCAGAGCACCCTGCGCCAAACCAAGTAAAAAAGTGTCGGTAAGTAGATTCCTACATTGCCGATCTCAGTCGGTAAGTGAGTCAGAATCCGTGTTTAGAATGTTTGTCTAGTTCGAGTTGTTTTATTTAAAAAAAAATTAAACAAGTCAAAATCACACTATACAGTCACTTTTTTGTCTAAATTTGTCAATTCCGGATTATTTTAATCGAAGTGCATCAATAATTGTTCCGCCTAATACAAAATGTGTTACTTTCAATTTAAACTATATACAGTTATGCTTTTCCGATACAGTATTGTGATAAATTTTAAAGCATTTTTAACAGTATGGGCTTGGAATTGAAGCATAACCGTTACCGGGATATAGCTATAATAATCTAAAACAACATATGGGTAGTTTTATGTTTATGTTTCTATTGGTATTTGCGACATAAAGAAATATAGATTACTTTTGACATCATTCTTTAACAATCGTAAACACTGTATTTCGTTAAAAAATCACAATTTTATGAATATGGAAATCATGTTAAAAGTCAAAGATTTTTTTTTAAATACGCGAATTCTCAGAAAATTATTATTATTTTTATACCACATTACATAAAAATGTAACTGTGACAAAATAACCCGTGAATTGTGTTTTTAAGCGTGAACAATTATTTTATTCTACTTGACGAAAAAAAATTGCTCAACTGTTTCAGTTTTTCATCGACTTTTGAAATATGTTAACAGAAAAAAAATCTCTAACCTTAGCCTGCAACCGATGTATCATATACA